TACTGAAACCTTCATCCTTAAATTAAACGAACAACTAGTAGAAGTAACCAACTGACTAGGCCAAAAAAAAAATTGTGCTCGTAGCTGTATCTTTGGCAGGGCTGATAAAGCTACAGTTTTTTCTTTAACTCTGCTCTAACTAGGCTCACGGGCTTTAATCTGGTAAATCAATCACTTGTATGATCTTAGGTTAGAGGGCGCTCCATCTCAATGGACGGTATATCCTTTAAATCCATCAAAATGGTTTAAGACTCAGCAAAAAGAATTCTTGAAGGATGTTTGAATCCACAGAACTGGAAGCAGGAAAGTAAAGCCTAATCGTATCGTACCCTGAGGTTAGGACCCTCTACAGAAAGTTGACAAAACAGCTGGTTTTTTGGCACCCACTTTCGATGGATGATGTGTAAAAACTTCATATAAAACAAACGGTTTATCAGGTGCTATGGTGAAGCCTGAGATAGAGCTACTCTTAAGATTCCATGCAACTTTCATCTGGATCTTAAAGGCAAATGGGTTAGTACAGGCTACTCGGAGGAGCCAAAGAAATGATTCCAATCTCAGGGTATTCCCTAGTGTGAAATAATTGACATCTCCTTTAACAACTGGAATAACATTTCATTTTAAGAATGAAACATAACTACGTTCTATATGATTATGCTATTATGTCATAGTAGTAATTGAAAGGAATCCTGAATTATTATCTGCTGCCAGAGTTTATCAAGGCAGAATAGAATATTATATAAGAATGATTTCTAGAACTTTCAATGTTCATCTGGACTTCATCCCACATGGTTACCCCAATCCCTAGAGGCTGTGGATGTCCACTACTCTCCCTCTGCTTCTGATACTCTGGTATTATGCACATTGACTTAAGAAATAGTCTGATCGATTCCAGGTTTCTCACCACCATTCTTCTGCATTCTTTCGGATATTCTATCTTACACACAAAATATATTAGAAGAAGAGTGACCAGGCGCTGCTATATCCTCCATTAGCCTTTAGAAGGAGATTCCTTTCCACACTGAGGTATATATCATCTGGGGCTTGCGGTTGTCCCTCAAAGGACGTCATTCCCTCCTTGCTGTTCTGGGCAACTTTCTTTGCATCATCACCATTCTATAAAGAGAAAAAACAAGCCAAAAGAACACGTTCAATAAATGTGTGTTCTCAACTGCAGCATGATAAAAGCGCAATAAATATTAACCGATTTCTATGATTTTTGGCAACCTTAATAAAGAATAGTGCAAATTTAAGAAAATGTTGTTTATTTTTGTGTAGGTTTAAAACTGTCTGAGATATCAACTTATGAGTAAAACGGAATTTTTACAAAAACTGTCCAAAAAAATGATAGAAATTGGTTGAATCGTTCCTGCCGAAAAACAAATTAAAATTGTAGTAGAAGCATGAAAGGTTTGGCCTTATTAAATGAGGAAATAATGTTTGCCTCATGCTCAACTTCTGCATTGAATTGTCTAACTGCAACAGGCATTTCGCGATAAAAGGCAAAACCAGTGTAACTTTTCCAAACTTTCCTTTTCCAATAAGTAACCAATCGTAACAGTTAGAACCTAACCGTAGCAGTTTGAAGTTTCCTCAACCCCTCTTGTCTGCCGTCTGCAGTGTCGTGCCATCTCTTTCTTTGGTACAGCCTTTCTTAGAGCAAGAAAAATGCAATTTTCCAAGGAAACAGGGATGAACAATTTGCGTATACATTTCCCCCCTAAAACCAAATAGTTGTAACCTACAGGGTTTTTTTACATGTAGTTTGTTTGGTTGTTATTGGCTATACCCCTGAAAAGTTTATGTACAAAAGTTAAACGGATTATGATCTACAAGAACAGGACATAAATGTTAAACTAACCAGCATCAATCTCGACTTCATTCAAAGGTTTCCCAATAGCTTGCTGGAAGTTTCCCTCATCAACTAGTGCCGTTATTTTGCTGAATTTAGCCAGCTCCAGACTGGTGGAGTCTATAATATTCCCTGTGTACTCTGATGTCATGTCCCATGTGTCGTGCCAGTCAATCTAACTCTTTTTCTTGGAGGTCTAACACTGGGGAAACCGTTGCAGCACACTTTCTATGGCAGGTACTATCAAATTAGGTTCTTTTACTTCAAGCCCTCTACATTGTTTTGTCAGACAGTCCCTGTGGCGAATGTGATGAATTGAGTCCTCAGACAGGCGGGTAAAGAAAGACTTGTCGTTTTAATTGGTGTTGGCTTCGTCTTTTCTTGACTAAGATCTCCATTGCTTCTTTGATATCAGGCATTAACAACAGTGGGAGCTCACGTCCCCTTTTGCCTTCAATCTCAACCATATCCAACCTGCAAAAGATGCGTATTATAAATATAATGGGAAAGCGCAAAATTGGTCCATCTTTTTCTGTTAGATTAATATTGACAATAATCTGGTGTGCACCCTTTACTCTGCTGGAAGATTTCTAAGAGCATTGATTCCTCAGACAGTCCCCATGGCGAATGTGATTAAAGGGACACAGTCAGCTGGTGCGCATGTGCATTAGGTACCATTTCTCAGCTAATTTGCATATCACAACATCGCCCGCGCAAATCCAAAAGTGAGATGCGCATCCCGTCGGCAAATCTTCAGTGAATCTTCAAACCTCTTGAATCGAAGTAAACGCGAGTCTACATAGTTCTTATAGAGCGTAATTTATACCAAGGCACTGATTTTCTTTAATACCACGGATAATTTACGGATGGACTTGTCCAGGGAAGGCGAAACGTCTGTGAGAAGCGAAACGTCCGAAGTCGAAGAATCAGCGGAGGTGAGAAGCACTCTGTGATTTCAATCAAATACTTTGCTTTTATATGCTTTAGCTGAATTGCGTTTTAAAGCTTCTCCACTTTCTAAATTATTTTAGGAACCAGACCCATGTAATTGTAAGAGTTCTTGCTCAACCCGAAGAAAGGAGGGTTCAACGAGAGGTTGCCCTTGTCGAGGAGCGAACTGTGTATGTACTGAAGTTTGTCGGTGCGGGAAGGCTTCTAAACCCTGCCAAAATAAGGTGAGATAAAAAGATATTTCTTTCATCTTTGTATGTAAGGCTTTAGGTCAATTATCATTTGTGCTAGTGCTTCTCAAGTCACAATGAAATGGTCAAGGCACTGTACAGATATTCCGAGATGTGAATATAAACATCTAGTACGCAAACCGAACTCAAGCTTATTATTACCCACGAAAATAACGAAGAAGCTAAAACAACTTGCTAGCTTATGTTCATTCCTCTGTGAAATTAGAAACCTACTCATAGACACAATAATTTGTTGTTGAACAGGCTAATGCTACGAACCCTGCTAGGGACAACCAAGCCACTCAACGCCCAAGCGAAGAGAATGAGCGTGTTGCTGCAAACCAACAAGTCAAGGTAAAATGTCAATTATTGACCCAGGATTTGCGACGCTTTTATTATACTTTGTACAACGTTGTTTCTACAAAGCTCAGGACCTCTATTGCAACGCGTTACAATGCATAACAAAAGAATATTGTCACAAACATGGTGTAAGTAACTTATATTTTTATGTGTTTTTATTATACAAGTCTTCATCATCCTGTCATTTTATTCAATCGAAATTCGGGACACAGGCACAGAAATTTGATTCACTGAGTTGTAATATGCTCCTGAACCGGTCACTATTCCTTATGGGTGTGCAGAAACTAATATGCTAACTCTTTGTTGTGGGCCTTCAAGTTTTTGTCACTCTTATATTGCTATAGTTATAGATACCAATGCCCCACTAATCCATACTTGCCACATAAATGAACAAGGACTGGAGATGTTATGGATCTGCTCTAGGATCATCATTCCAAATGAATGTCGTTCTCTATGATTTGCAGGATTTCATCAACACACTTGACTGAGAGACCATAAAGAAACTGTATTAGAAGCCTGAGACGGGGAATCGGAAGTCTGGATTATATAGACTCCTTGCTCATTATGGAAGATGATCTGGATAATGATAATAATGAAGATGACATTGCTGAGGCGCATAGTTTTGCAGCTGAAGCTAGTATCACAATAACACCACCACCCCAACCCATCCCTCTGCAGAGGCAAGGACCACGTCCTGAGTGGTGTGTATGTGGGAATTGTTGCAACATGCCCCTGGAGGTGGAGAAGGTGTGCTGTAGGAAAAAAAAACTGTGACGCCAAAAAACCAAGATTCAAAAAGCTGTGTTTGGACCCTGATTATCTTGAACTGCCAATAAAAAGCAGTGCTGATATCAGGAATGACAGGCAAAACAACAGCACTAGAAGGTTTAGAAAAGCTGCTTATCGCCACTATTTTCTTGATAAGCATGGATATTTAGGCAAGGGAAGGAGGAAAGTTGCACCATCATGTGTTGTCTGGGAAATCCGTGAACATTACCCATCTTCTACTGGCATCTACATGGGGGTTTCAAGGAGCGCTGAACACTCTTACTGTACATGATAATGTTATTAAGGAAAACTAAATGACACCAGAGTTTGAGATAAACCAGGAGCAACATTGCCATATTATTTACTTGATTTATGAATCCTTATTACAACCTTTTATTCTACATCAGTCACTTGATCTACATTAACAACTTGTTTTCTTGAATTACAAAACCATAGAGACAGTGATCAAATACTGTCACCAGAAAGCTTGTTTGCTTGTGAGAGTAATTATTATTATTGGTACTCCGGATTTCAAGTGACAGCGATGATTGAATGGGTGCATAAATCAAAATCCCCAAAAATGCCTGGGCCAAAATTTAATCTCGAACAAATCCCATGCTGAAATTTCCAAGCCATAAACATTCCCTGGAGGCTTGATACAAACATTAAAATCCCTATTAAAAAAAAAACAAAATACTTGCAAAACTGTCACTGCCCCCCAAAGATCCCGAGATCGAAAATTTCAACTCCCCCGCAAAAATCCCTTGATAATCCCTGTAACTTGAAATCCGGAGTACCACCCCCCCCCCACCCCTGGGGTGGAAATCGCCAGTAAAAACTTATTTCTTAGTTTGAAACCTTGTCTGATGTCTTTGAAACAATTCCTTAGAAGATACGGGAGCCGTGTGGGCAATGGTTGACGCTATTCTCTCGGGATCATTTTCTGATAGGGACACGTGTCTGTCTATATGAAAGACATCTTCCATGCGTCGGCGAAAAACTTTGGCCATTATTACGGGAACGTAATCATAATCCTTGTCTACTTTTATGATCCGTGTGTTCCACTCTTTTGTGGGTTGATTGTATTTCCTGCTATATCTTGCTTCCCCCCCTTTTGATCCCACAGCAACTTTTCTGTCAAGATGATAATTCCAATCGATTGCTGCTAGCTGCTTTCTTGCCTTGTAAAACTTGTACCTGTTACAGAGATAGAACAGGATGTTACATGGTGACACAGAGATATGATTTTTCTCTTGAAAACGTCAACTATTTTTCAACTTGACAAAAGAAATTTAGAATCTCCAAGTGGGCATGTTCTCAATGAAAAATTGTATGGAGCACATTTGCAGAAGAAGCAAAATTTACGCGTTTGCTTGCCCAATAAATAAAGCTGGTGTTTCTTTGACATACATCTATAAATCAACTTCCCCACACCCACCACTCCAAATTATGCAGCAATTATGTCACTAATGATGCCCACCTTGGAATTTTAGAGACCCTTGACAAAGACGGGGCATAACAACTGAAACTGTCTTCTTGAAACACTTCCTTTTTCACCCTCCCCCCATACATACAGTTCTATCACATGTGATCCCCTCCTGGATTCAACAGTTGCAGTAGTACTTTGCTTGTGAACTTACAATTATTATTATTATATAATAAAAATACATTTGGGCCTAAGAAATTAAGTCTATCCATGACTTGTGCAATATAAGTAAATTATCAACTAATTACAATCATACTTGTAAGAAGTTCTCTTAGCAGCATATGCCAATGACATGCTGTTGAGGAATTCCAAAGATCCTGTGTGCCTTTAAAACATAAGAATGATACTACAATGAGGATTCCATTGGGGATTTGAATGTCTTTTCAGGTTTCTTAGCGATGGACATCAGACTCAACCCCCTAAATAATTGTCTTGTCAAAACATGTATTCCTGTTGTGGTTGAAAGTAAACTAAAAGCATGCTACCCCCAAAAATAAACATCAGTTGAATGTAATTCTAATCACCACATGTCACAGATGAAAAGCATTTACCTAAACTTCACATAATACTTGAAGCTATCGAGTAGTGATGGCTCAAGCACTACTTTCTGCAATGCTTCATAGTCCTGCTCCCTCCGGTCGAACCAAGGTGGGTGTTCGTTTCGTTTGTAGGAAGGTTAATACACTGAAGCACCTAGAATAATGCAAATTCTTTATTTTGTCTCACTACCTCTTGAATACTCTTGCGTATGCTTTTGGCCTTGTGCCAGACATCCAGAGAGTGGAAGAGGGTCTTGAATTCATCAGCTAGGGAAACAACAAAAAAATAATAATAGCCATTAATTTCATTAATTTTATAGAAAACGGGGTTGTAACTTTCATCTGAGGGTTAGTTTGAGAAAATCCACATTATGAACAAACATTGATGTCATAAAATGACAGCTGTAATACACCACAATGTACAGATTCTCTAATCCAACATTACCGTACTTTACATCATTTCAACAAAAAAGCAGGAGTAACCCTGGGTAATCATTAAACTGTGAGCCTGACAGGGATCTATACCCGATTGGACAGAAACACAGCCAAACATTAGATAAAGTTCACTGTACAACTAGTTCCAATTTACCTATAAGCTTCTTTATAGAGGATGATGCATCTGTACAAACTTCGATAACATTTAAGACTCTCTGGAGTCTCTGTAGACAGTGGTTCAAGGTCTTCTTTTCCATTGTACTTGATTTCAATCCAACATGTCTTTTGTCCAGGACTTCTATTTCGATCACATAGCCAGTGATCATCTCCATTACGTAGTAGCACAGATTTTTGGCTGAAAAGCCAGGAGAGTCACACTGCCCATCCCCACAAACAGTAAGGTCATCATTGGCAAATTGGGCCCACAATTCCTCTCTCATATGTTCCCACCATTCATCAATTACAGGGGCACAATACAATTTCTGGTCTCTCTGAAAAGTTGATGCTGAAATGAATTCGAGTCGTAGGTGCTTTGCAAATTTTTCAATTTTTGAAAAATTGTTTCCTGGCGTGAGAACTGGAGCTGCCGTTTGGAGGTTATTGGACAACATGCCATTTGCATCTCCTGAAGTACAAAACCGTCCCTTGTGCCCAGCTGGACACTTCCAACGAATTACTGCACAAGTGCCACACAGTGAGTATTCAAGAGTCACCGTGTGAATGCACCCTGGAAACTTGCATGGCCCTGCAAGCTGCTGCAGCAGCAGATCTAACGAACAGATTACTTTCGTTCCTTTGATATGACCAAGTTCTTCTGTATAGAGAATTTCTTCTTCTTTTCTTGAAAAGCGTTTATGAGGACCATACTCAGGCTGGTGTTTTGGGATGGATGGTTGGCTCATCTGCTCAAAAGCTGTCTGGGTCCACACTGATACAGAACCTGTAGTTGATTTATCAGACTGTGCAACATGGGATGTTGGCAGGTGCTGGACTGACAAACTTCCATCCTCCACAGGCACGGCTAACACTTCTGTGAACTCCAACACAGTTGTCTCATCCAACTCATCAACTTCACTCTCAGGGTCTTTGTCTTCTCCACTAAAAATGTAACAAACAGGGTATTAAAATTAACAGTTACATCATCCACAATCAAACAATCTTCTATTGTATGTTGGTTGTCATTATCCTATGTGTCTTGCAGAATCATACTTACAGTGGTTCAAATTCACTATCATCACTGTCACTATCATCCTCTGCCATAGTCAGGTCTTCACTGAGTAGCTTCAGGGCATCTTCAAGGTCACTGAGATAACATTAAAAAAAAATACAATGATGTCGAGTTAGCTAGTTGCAATACTCAAGTGGCTCCATCATTACAAACCACATTTCCCAAAATCAAAAACAAGACTTACTTTCCAAAAAGTAACAAAAGGTGAAACAAGCCTTTACTCAGCAGAAAGAGAAAAGATTTTTACTCAAAAGAATACGAAATAAACAATGACAATATCAATAACTTTCCCAAAACTACAAAAGAGATCAAGGCACACTTCTGATCTAGCTACTTTGTTCAGCCAAAATGGTCACGTGGTTGGGAATACAAACAGATTATCAATCTGTTGCCATAATAGTTAGATACTTGATAAAACTCCTTCATTTTCTTCTCAAATTAGCCAGGGGAAAATTGATTATTGATTATCTGGCTTAATATTCTTCCAGTCAGTGTTGAAGTAGCTGCAAAGGAATGCCATTTACTGTACAATTGTTTACATGACTTGTTTAGAATGTACCTATCGCAACTTTGTTCTGAAGGCGAGGTTGAACTCTCTGTGGCACTGATGTCATGCTCATTGTCACTCTCATGGTCAATGACTACAGTGTCATTAACTATTTTGCAAGATTCATTGACAACAAATGGACTTTCGGACCCAACGCCAGTGACATCAATAAATGAGTGTGACCTGCAACATGTGACGAACAACAAACATTTAGTAAAATTCATTAGAGATACAAGGCAATAATTATTATTACTGTCCACACTCATTGCTGCTACAAAAGAGTCTTTTTTCTGGACAATTATTTTTATTTTGATTGCATTTAGCCAATACTTGATTTTCATGGCAGACAAATTCCATACAATGCAAATTGTTGAACTGGTGTGGCGCTTACACTAACCAGAGCTTTGGTATATATATTATACGTTTATGTTAATACAACTGGGTAGTTCACAGAGCTCATAAAAAACATCTACTGCCACAAATTGCACTGAGAACACGCATTTAAAATGTTAAACTTCCACACTTACTTCTTGCTACTGCCAGTACTTATAATAGAAATATCAGGAAGATCTCTGCCTTTTCCCAATGGAGTCGAAGTCAATGGACCTGGCATTAAACATGACAAAAAAAAAAAACACGTGTACGGTAAGTTAATAAACATCAAGTAAGAAGTCGAGCGTATACGTATACAAACATGCATGTACCTTCTTGATCTTCCGAATGTCTCGCTCTTTTGACTGGTTTGCGAGTCTCTTCCATCTCATTCAATCTACAAAAAATGAAGAGATGTTCAAACATTTCTGTCCAGTATAAATATCACACATCCGTCTAAATTACAGATCGAGCTGGTACTTATACTTACTCATTTTCTTGCCTTCGTCTCAGCTCCAAACCGAGCAGCCATGAAGCGAACTCCGAATCGTTGCCAAATGTTCCCTCTGCACGAATCTTTCTCCAGCTTGAGAAAACCCGATTTTCCAAATATATGGAATGGTGGTTGGCTCTCCAGTGTTTCTGATTGATCTTCCTCGTTATTTTCGTTAACGCAGGCGATTTCTTCCGCCCGGCGCCTTCACGTTTACCTCCTCTTCCGTCCATGTTCCATTGGACTATTGATTCAATCCGTTTTAGCCAAATACGATAAAATAATTTTGAAAGATGACTAAAAGAATATTCAGGAACAGGTTTTGGGTAAAAGATCAACGATCAAAAGAACCACAAAGCACGATTGAAGCGGATTTTGTAGATGTCTACGACGCGTAACTTTGATTTTGGGTTGAGGTAAACGCTTTTCAAAAGTAACAAAACTAGTGTCCAGGCCAGCGCGGTCTCAAGGCTGACTGTGTCCCTTTAATTGAGTCCTCAGATGGGGAGGCAAAGAAAAACTTAGACTTTAAACTTTAGATTGATTTTGGCCTCGTCTTTTCTTGCCTAAGACCTCCATTGTATCTTTTATATCAGGTGTTTACACCACCGGGTCCTTACGTCCCCTTTTCCTTTCAGTCTCTAGCATATCCAAGGATACAAAGGGCAAAATATTAAATTGGTCCATCCTTTTCTTTTAGATTGATATTGGCAATAATTTGGTATGCACCCTTTACCCTGCTGGATGATTTCTGAGTGCGTTGATTAATATTTTTGTTGAATTGTTGGCAATAAACGTAATCTAGTCTAGCAGTTGGTGATAGATTTGTAAGTGTATCTTATCACTGTGCATGTATTCCAAGGTGTCTGCAATTTTTTTGTGTGTTGGTAGTGGAATAACTGAAAGTGTCATCCCTTTATACCTCTTACACACCTCCTTCTCAATTGGCTATATACAATCTTCAATTCCTTTTGTTGCTCATTTCTTCCAGTCTGCCCATTCTACATTCTAAGCTGCAGCATTTTCGAAACTTCACCACCTCTTTGGTTATGGAATGTTATAACTTGGCAAAGGGTTATTTCAGCTAACTCGCCCCAATTCTGAATTGTTGGTGCAGCTTTTAAGGTTCCTGTACAAGTGACAATCTTGTGAAGGAGATGTTTTCTCAACATCTCCAAGTCTTCAGTAACTGGGAGAAGATCTGGCTTGTTAAGTTCCTCTTGTTGACTGTTCCTAGTGAGTGATATGAGATGTTATCACTCCATTCAGATCCCATAAGCTTTTCGAGATTGTCCATGTCTTCTAGCAGCACTTGGTCTTATTCTCTTAAAGCCTTTCCTCTTTTGTTGGTCATGTACTTATTTATGGCATGGCCTAACTTCAGCGCAAGGGATCCAAAGCTGGTACCCGTTGATTGTGGGAACTTTCATGATCCCTCATTCATTTTCCGTTAGATGCGAGGGTCTTGTTGCACCCAGGGAAAAAAACAAATAACTCTGCTATCATCTGTTTGTCTTCGAGCTCATTTTCCTTTGCAGTCTCAGCAGGTAATAGCTTACTGTGAATGGCAACATTTCGTTTTTCTTAACACGGGGTCGAAGAAAGCAGAAGTTGTTTCATGGATCCTGGCATGTCTTGATTTTCAGCGGCACGCAGATTGTCCAGAGCAACATGTTTTAA